CTATCTTTAGAGAAACAACCATAAAGTGAACAGGGATATTCCAAGTCCTCCGCTATACCAGTTTCATTTTCTTCACAGGAACAAAGCAGATGGGCTGGGCTGTCAAGCACTGCCTTTATCAAGCAGGACACTGACAGAATCCCTTGAGATGAGGCAAACATGCGCATGCTCCTTCCACGGAAGGAGTATTAATTCACCATAGAGCTACCTCATTTAGAGAGGGACTAAAACACCAAAAATAATCAAGCTATGTTAAGGTAAAACAGTGGAAATTTGGATTAAAATATGTTGATCTCTTTTCGAATCTACATTTTCATACTAAAGGTTTTTATCATTGGCTACTTTGTTTCCTCAAAGTCAGCTAGGGCTCAGAAAATGCTAGCCTGAATCTTCTGTTTAACTCTGATGCAGCTACTAAACTAAAGCAGATTTGCTTTATAGTCACAGTATAATAATAAAAGTGTAATATGCTAATTAGACCGGACATCCTTCCGGACGAAGAGAGGGAGGCCGGGGTCCCAGGTGCCAGAGGGAAGCCCGGGTACCAGGTGCCAGGGGGAAACCGGTGCCGGCCGCCAGGGGAAGGAAGGCCTGCTCTTGCACAAATTTCATGCAACAGGCCCCTAGTATATAGAATAAAACAGTTGCTAAGTAGTGGTGTCATCCTGCACAAAGATCAAGTTTGGCACTTGTCCTCCTAGCCATGCAACCAGTGAAAGAATCCGGGATATCACAGCCCTGGTGTCCTGACTGTTGGTCTTGTGCCCTTCTCATGACATCATAGGGCAAATGTGGGAGTGGGATGAGAAGGTGGGGGTAATAATAGTAAAAGGGCTAATCACCCAGGAGATGGGAGATATGACTCCACTAAAAGCTTTACAATCGTAAAAATCAGATGTCCATAGGAAAATATTAAAATACTTTGAACTATAACAAACATATTAATACTATCAACAATAAAAAATACATTTAAAAAAACACATATTGACGTGAAAGTCTTTCCAGGAAGCCTTTCCTGAATGCTCCACATATATGACTTTTTGGCACATTTTAGTAAAATATACACTTAATGTAATCACAGAATTGCCATGTAGACAGTTGTTGCTCACCCAGTCTCCAACATGAAAGGCGGCAGATGACAGGTAGTCAATGCCATCTTAGTCTTGCTCTTTTGCAAAATCACCGAATGCAAACCACTGTTTTTTATTGTCATCCTTCACACCAAAAAGAAGAGGTAAGGGGGGAGGCTGCCACCAAAGACTGCTTGCGCCTCAGAGTTCAGACACTGAGGCCAGAGGATTGCCATGTGTGGAGCATGTGCTAAGCTGACCTTTCCTTATATGTTCATTTTTAAAATGAAGCTAAACACATTACCTTTTAAAATATTAGCATAATGCAGCCTACACTGTGAAACAATTTGTTCCTAAAACATTACTGTCCAGATGATTTTCCCCCTACTATATTGGAAAATGAGCCACACATCCGCAAGTGGTATAATTTGCTCCTCTCGTAGGCTAGGGATCCTGAGAGAAGTCAAACACCATCAAATGCAGACAGAATCTTATCATACTATCTCAAACGGTTCCAATATTTCTAACTCCCAGACCACTAAATTATCCTTACTACTTCTACTGTATTCACTGCGTTCATTGTTAAACGGTAGCTCAGTTTACGAAATTTAGCACACAGTAGGATCAAAATTAATTCAAATAATTTTTAAACCAATACTTTGCATGCCCTTAATGACATGTTCGAAGAATAAAAAGAATCACAAACTTTGCACTAAATAACTTTATTGTTGGTAGTGATCTTCACGTGGTCATTCTGAAATAATTTTACATCTTGTAGAATCAACTAAATAGTAAATACTGATGTTCAAAACCAAAGTTCTCACCATCAGAGAAGTTACAGATAGGGAACAGGGAAAGGTGAGACAGATGTTAGATGTGAAATGAAGTATGTGAAGAAATTCATGATATGCATTTTCTGGCTCCATTCCCTAAAAAAGCCTAGAAACAAAGACACCCCAGTAGCACACAGATCTTGATTTCCCAAGAAAAGAAAGTGGGTTTTTCCCTGAAGAAATAGCCAGATACCAGTCTGGGGCAGGCAAAGCGTATGATAAACCTAGAATATCTTGCTATAGCAAAAGGCACGATATTATGCCTTTTAGGCACAAGTCAAAATAACCCA